AGTTCCTGGACCAAGGGGGAGAAAATGGAGTCCAGATAGTTGGAGATCAGTTCGGTGGGGCAGGAGCAGGCGGAGACAATGGGTCGATCAGGGCATTCAGGTTTGTGGATTTTGGGAAGGAGATAGAAGCGGGCAGTGCGGGGTTGGGGAACGATGAGGTTGGAGGCCGTGGGTGGGAGGTCACCTGAGGTGATGAGGTTGTGGATGGTTTGGGAGATGATGGTTTGGTGCTCAGGGGTGGGGTCATGATCAAGGGGGCAGTAGGAGGAGGTGTCGGAGAGTTGGCGTCTGGCCTCGGCGATGTAGAGGTCAGTGCGCCATACTACAACTGCGCCTCCCTTGTCCGCGGGTTTTATGGTGAGGTTGGGATTGGAGCGGAGGGCTGCACGTTCTGCGGGGGAGAGGTTGGAGTGGGTGAGAGGGGTGGAGAGGTTGAGGCGATTGATGTCTCGACGGCAGTTGGAGATGAAGAGGTCGAGGGAGGGTAGGAGGCCTTGGGGTGGTGTCCAGGAGGAGGGGGTGTGTTCAAAGCAGGAGAAGGGGTCAGTAGAGGGAGGGTTAGGTTCACGGTTGAAGAAGTAAGCGTGGAGGCGGAGGCGGCGGGAAAACTGCTCTATGTCCAAGCGTGAGCGGTATTCGTTGATCTGTGGGTGGAGGGGGACGAAGGTGAGCCCTTTACTGAGGACTGACTGTTCGTCCTCAGTAAGGGGGAGGTCTGGGGGGATGGTGAAGACTCGGCAGGGCTGGGTGCTATTGTCCCCTCTGGAGCTGGTGGCTGTGGGCGGAGCGACGTCGGCATCGGCTGTGGGCGGAGCGACGTCGGCGTCGGCTGTGGGCGGAGTTGCGTCGGCGTCAGTGGTGGGCGGAGTTGCGTCGGCGTCGGCGGTGGGCAGAGTTGCGCCGGCAGTGGGTGGAGTTGCATCCGCGTCAGTGATGGGTGGAGTGGCGTCGGCGGTGGGGGGAGTGGGGTAGGCGGCGGCAGTAGCGGTGATGGTAGTCGCGACTTCAGTGTCGGTGGTGTTGGTCTCGGAAATGGAGGCGGTGGCAACGGCAGCGATGGTGCTTGCTGTCCCGGAAGTGGGGAACCCGGCGGTGGCGGATGTGATGTCATCTGTGGGTTCTCCGATAGTGGCCTCATGGCCAATGGCGGCGGGCACATTGTGGGGAAGGTCCTGGGTACGGCTGGGGATTTGGGGGGTGGAGGAAGCCCGTTTTGGGTGGTAGGCATCAGTAAGTTTACTGTACTTACGGTTTTTAGTGTCCAATAAAGCTGAGCAGAATTGTGAGTTCAGGTTGTGGATCCTACGAAGAATAAAAAACAGGAGAGGTCCTTTGCAGGTCTGGGAGAGGGAGGCTCTGAGCTGGGGTAGGCTTGATTGTAGTGCCTGGAGATGCCGGCGCATTGCTGCAAGTGTGTGTTTCAGGAGTTGCAGGGAGAAATGCTTCTGAAGGATCTCAATGCCATGAGTGTAGATATTGTCACGGTTGGGGCCAAATTGGGAAGGCTTGAATGTGGATTGTGGTCCATTGGGGATGATCTGGTTCCGTAGGCAGGTGCTAAGAAAGGTGATGTGGCTGTAGTACCTGGTTTGCTTCAGGACATGGTCGAGCAGTTTCAGGGCCGAAGAGATTTCACAAGCTTCAAAATCTCCCCTCCCCCTACCGCATCCCAAAACCAGTCCAGCTTGTCCCCGCCTCCCTAACCTGTTCTTCCTCCCACCTATCCCCTCCGCCCACCTCAAGCCGCACCCCCATCTCCTACCGACTAACCTCATCCCGCCCCCTTGACCTGTCCGTCCTCCCTGGACTAACCTATCCCCTCCCTAACTCCCCACCTACACTCACCTTTACTGGCTCCATCCCCGCCTCTTCGACCTGGTTGTTTCCTCTCCTCTATCCATCTTCTATCCGCCTCGCACTCTCTCCCTATTTATTTCAGAACCCCCTTCCCCTCCCCCTTTTCTGATGAAGGGTCTAGGCCCGAAACGTCAGCCTTTCTGCTCCTATGATGCTGCTTGGCCTGCTGTGTTCATCCAGCCCTGCACCTTGTTGTCTCTTATGACCAGTTTGTTAGCTTTGCCATATTCTCAGCAAAGTCAGAAGTCGCACGACACAAGGTATAGTTCAACAGGTTTATTTGAAATCACAAGCTTTCGGAGTGCAGCTCTACTTCACCTGACAAAGGAACAGCGCTCCGAAAGCTTGTGATTTCAAATGAACCTGCTGGACTATAACCTGATGTCATGTGACGTCTGACTTTGTTCACCCCAGTCCAACACCGGCACTTCCACATCATTATCAGCAAATTTGTAGTCTTGTAGATTAAGTTCCACAATCCTCCCTGCTTTTCAATGCATGAAGTAAGACTAGTGCTCAATTCAGCCCATTGAGCAATCTCTGCTGTTCAACATGATCATGGCTGATCTTGGGCTTCAACTCCATTTTCTTGCCTGCTCCTCAAAATCCTTTATTTCTTGAGACTCCCAAAATTTGGCCTTCCCAGCCTTAATATTATCGATGATTCAGCATGCACGACCCTCTGGATAGGGATTCCCAAAGATTCACGACCCTTTGAGGAAAGAAATTTCTCCTTATCTCAACCCTGAATAATCAACTCCATATCTTGTTTCATAATGTTTTAGATTCCAGCAGGAGCAGAAACATCCTCTCAATGTCTACCTTGCAAAGCCCTTTCAGAATCCTGAATGTTTCAATGAGATCCTTACAGGTGAAGCTCACTTTATTTCAGACTCTCACCAAAGGATAAGCCTCTCATCAAAGGATAAACCTCTCATTCCAGGGTACAATCCATTGAGCCTTTGATGTACCATCTCCAGTGCACTTATATCTTGCCTTAAATGTGGAAACCAAATTACAGACAGTATTCTAGATCTGGTCTCACCAAAATGCTATGCAATTTTAGAAAGACCTTTTTATTTCTGAACTCCAATCCACTTGCAAGCATGGCTAATATGCCTTTGCTCTCTGAATTGCTTGCTACAGCTGCATGCTAAATTTGTGTTCCTTGCAGAAGAACATTCAAGTCTCTCTGAACATCAACATTTACAAATTTTGGGCACTTTAAGAAAGTATTTTAGTTGTCTATTTTTGCGAACAAAATGAATAAGCTCATGCTTCCCCACATTGTACTCCATTTGCCATCTTGTTTTCCATGCACTCAACATGTTTCCTTCTCCCTACTACACCAGGTGAGTCTTCCAATGTCCTTTGAATGTTCCTTCACTAAATCTTCTGAGTATCCTTAAACTGAATTTCTGTGGCAAGGCCCGCTCTGGCAATTCCTTGGTTCTTAAATGTCCACAAATTCCATCCTCAACTGAAAAATAGTTCTCTTCAGTATCCTATTCAATGGCAGTCTTTTCCTCTATTTGAGTTATGCCCAGTCTCTTACTCCAGGTTTATTCTGAATTCAGGTTCATGTGCAGAATAAGCAGCTGCCCCTCCTCTGTGTCAAGTTGTGAAAAGTAACACCTGAAATTTTATGGGTTTCAGCCTAGGCCTCTTCCCCACGATGATGAAAACAAATTATCTTGTCTCCAGGTAGAATTCAGTATCATTTCACCATTCTCTATTCCAGAACACTGTGCACTACCTTTGAAACAAAAAGTGCTGCAGAAACTCAGCAGTTCTGGCAACATCTGTGGTGTGAGAAACAGAATTAACATTTTAAATCTACTGAACACCAAGGGTTGGTGCAGGAGGGAGGGCTATAGATTCCTAGATCACTAGGACCGTTCCTGGAGAAGGTAGGACCTGTACAAGCAGGATGGTCTGAACCTGAACCAGAATGGGACCAACATCCTTGCTGGGTTTAGGAGGAATTTAAAATAGTTCAGCAGTTGGTGGGCACACAGTGTTAGAACAATGGGGATGCAGTATATTTTAGTGCAGAATCGAAGACAGAGAAATTTCAGCTATGTTGAGTTTCAAGGGAGTAAGGTGAAGCTGGATGGCCTTTAATACTAGGAGTATTACAGGTAAGACAGATGAGTTAAGGACATGGATTGACATGTGGAGTTGTGATGTTGCCATTACAAAGAGATCATTGAGGGAGAGGCAGGATTGGCAACTCAACATTCTGGTATATAGGATCTCCAGGCAGGAAGGGTTGTGGGGGAGTGGGGGGGTGGTGGTGATGGTGGGAGAGGGGGGTGTAAAAACTGAGTTGGTGTAGCATTATTAAGTCAGGAGTCAGTTACTGTAGGAAAGAGGGATGATATCTTGGGTCTTCAAATGAGGTTTTTTGTGTAGAGCTTAGGAATAAAAAAAAGGTGCTGTCACACTGCTGGGTGTGTATTATAGACTCCCAAACAGTGTCAGCAGGCAACAGAGGAGCATATAAACAATTCACTCAGGTGTGAAAAAACAATAATAGGATAACATTAGCGGATTTCAACTTCCCCAACATTAATTAGAGTAGTCATAGTGTAAAAGATTAGAGGGGGCAGATTTCTTGAAATGTATTCAGGAAAGTTTTTTATGTCAACAATTAGAAGGTCCAGCCAGGGGACAGTATAGCACTGGACCCAATTTTGGGGAGCAAAGCTGGAGAGGTAATCGAAGTGGCAGTGGGACAGCATTTTAATGACATTGACCATTACATCATACCTTCTGTGTTTGGCCAAAATAATTTACCCAGGTAAAAGTCAATTAATATTGGTAGCTATATCCTGCCAGTCATTCTGGAATTAATTATTTTTAATTCATGAAATTTTGACTACCTTATGTCCATACTTTAAAATAGTTTGCTGGAATATTTACTGTTTAGAATTCTTCATCATAGGATCACAGACTGATACACATAAAAAGAGGCTATTTGATCCATCATGTCTATGTTGGTACTTTGGTAGAATTATCCAATAACTCGCACTCCCATCCTCCATCCCAATAGCCTTTTAATTATACTTTACTTTCAAGTAACCATTGTCCTATCCCACCAAGTATCAATTGGTTTCTCAGGTTTAGTAACTGGAGATTTCTTACCATACTCCACTAACACAGCGTGTGGAGAGTGCTCGAGGCATGATCTCTGATCCTTGCTGCATGAAGCCACCCACTGGGAACCAGAGGCTGTTTCCTAGAGAGTACTGATTGACCAATACTTTACATTTTCCTCTAAAGCAAGGTTGTGGGTTATACCACTCATAAGGAGACAGTCTGTAAAAGAAATCATTACATCTAAAGTACAGAGGCTGTTAAAATGCTCATTCAACAGTGTTTTGTAACCAACTGGTCAAAATGTATCAATTGCATAAGAGAACATTGGCAGATTTTTGTGTTGCCTAAATACTGCCTACATTATAAGCTAAAACAATCTACACAAATCATTAATAGCTATTAATCTTCAGCTTGTTTCATTGTGTGATTTACTCCAATTCACTACTTTAGTCAATGTCAGGACTTTTAAAAATATATCAAATACGCAAAGACAACGATGTACATATGGAGGGACTTAATATAACAAACAATGGTTTCACAGGACACCCACATGACTATACCTGGCTACAAGGAAGAGAACACAACTGACTGCAAGATAGGCAAGCACCATGAAGAGCCAAACACCAGGAGAGAAAGGGTCCAGGAAGGAAAAATAACCAGGCTTCCTACCCTGAAATACAGTAAGGAAAGGACATAATTGACATGGAATATCTGTTTAGTGCAACAGGAATAACACTAAACAATAACATATACACAGATGAATGAAATGTGAATTTTCACAAGTTTGAACTGGAACTTGAAACAAAGGATGAGATTTTACTGGTGTCTTAGGAGATGGAGCAACCAGTGAAATATGAGACTGATGTCCCAACACAGTTTAAGCACTGGGCAGTTGCTGTGCAATGGGAAAGTAGGTGGGTAAGTCAGCCATCTACCGGGAGTTTGCAGCTAATTGAAGACCAAATTGAGGGTGATCGTTCTTGGCTGCTGGCCTTCTATGGGAGGTTGCCAGTTGCGTGGAATCAGCCTCTTCATCATCTCAGGGAATCATACAGAACCAGAGGCTCCAAAGCTCAAGGAGTGTGCTGCAATGACCTCTGATGCAATCACTGGAGGGATTTCTCCAAACACTAGGATCTACCCATGGCTTCAGCAGAAAATTTAGATGTTTTCCTCTCCTAGAGGGTGCCTCAAGACAAAGTCATCATAGAATCCCTACAGTGTGGAAGCAGGCCATTCAGCCCATTGACCCCACACTGACCCTTTGAAGAGCATTCCACTATCCCTGTAACTCTGCATTTCCCATGGTCAATCCACCTAACCTGCACATCTTTGTATTGTGGGAGGAAACTGGAGCACCTGGAGGAAACCCACACAGACAAGGCTGGAATCAAACCTGGCTCCCTGGTGCTGAGAGGCAGCAGTGCTAACCATTGAGCCATGATGCCGCACCATCTTATTATCCTTGCTGTCACTGAGGCCAGCTTTCTTGGTGGATCTGCTGAGGCTTCTGAGCTTCTGCCAGTTGATTGTGTAGGGTGAATAAAGGGAACCAGTAGATGTAGTGTATTTGAATTTTCAAATGGCTTTCAAAAGGGTGCCACGTTATGGACGTAATAGGAGCTCATGGTGTTTAGATGATATATTAGTATGAATAGAAGATTGGCTAACTCACAGGGAATAGAATTGAGATAAATTAATCATTTTCAGCTTGGCAAACTATAAATGATGGAGATTCAACAGGAATCAGTGCTGGGCCCTCAACTATTTCCAGTCTATATTAATGACATAGATGAGAATCAGAATTTTTGCTAGAACTGTACAGGGCATTGGTGAGACTGCGTACAATTTTGCTGTCTTCAAGATGAACATACTTATGTTGGAGGTAGTTCACAGAAGATTCACTTGGGCCAATTCATAGGATGAAGAGGTTGTCACAAGAGGAAAGGTTGAGTAAGTTAGTCCAAAACTTACTTGTGATTAGAAGAATGAGAAGTGATTTTATTGAAAAATAAGACAGGATAGATGCTGAGAGAATGTTTCCCCTTGTGGGACATACAGAACTAGGAGGGAAAATTTTAAAATAAGGGGTCTCCAATTTAAGATGAGAGGAAAAATGTCTTCTCTGAGGGTTGTCAATATTTGGAATTCTTTTCACAGTCATCAGTGGACACTGGACCATTGAATATACTCAAAGATTGGTTTAACAGATTTTTTTTCCTACAGAAAAGTCAAGCTTTATAGAGATCCAGTTGGAACATTGAGGTGAAAATCAGATCAGCCATGATCTTGTTAAATGGTGGAGTAACCTTGATGGGTTGAATGGATTACTCCTCCTCCGAGTTCTTAAGATCTTATGATTTTATGGGTCCAACATTGGACTTATTCTCTTCTGGAAAAATCTGCCCTAATATTTAGGGTTCATCCTGCCTCTGGGTAACAGGTTTACTTCAGGGTCACAACTTCAAATCAATCACAGGCTGTCTTTTTTTGTCTCTTTGATTTCCTTAAGCAGAAAACAGAGATGAGGCTTTACTGAGAGACAAAGTGCCTTGAGTCTCTGAAATAAGCAGAGCAAATGATTCTTTCAGTTTGAACCTGTCTTGGAACCAACAGTAATGCAATATTATGCAATATTTGTTGCTTATATCAGTACTGCATGGAAACCATTCCTCACAAGCCCACATCCTGCCAATCTCCACCTTCCATATGTGTTAAAGTACTCCGCAAAATATAACATTTCATCAACCACCTACAGTGGTCCAACTTTATTCTGACATCTTTGTGCATGGTTGTGCATTCTTGATGTTTGGTGACAAATTGGAATGGGATACATCAGGAAAAAAAATCTTCATTATCCTGTAGCTTTCTCTGCAGCTCTGGAGACCAATCTCTGAAAGGGACCATTGCGCCATGAGCTGTAGAAATGTTCTGTTAAACAGTAATTCATTAATAGCTCCACACATTCTGAACATATCCACTACGCTACCCAATCATAACCACAACCCTGTGTGGTGATCAGCTCACTGAATAACAGTGCAAAATATGAAAATGAGCTCAACAAAATCAAACTACTGCAGATGTTGGAGATCTGTAATCAAAACAGAAATTTCTGGAGAAACTCAGCAGTTCTACAGCATCTGTGGGAAGAAATCAGAGTTAAATTTTCAATTTCGGTGATTCATCAGAAGAGTCATAATGTATGCATGTTTTTCTGTCTGCAAAATCAGACCACTGTCCATTAATGTATGTAGTTTCAAGTGCACAGAAGTGTGCCACACAGTGAACTTATCTTGAATTGATTGTCAGCATAATTCTTAACACGCTCAGAATTATATCCAATGTTGAACACTGTTTTGAGTCTTGCAAGCACAGGCAAGCACAGCTATCTGCAACTAGAGAGGTACTGGTTGTATCGAATCAACCCCTGCTTGCAAAACTCAAAACATACTATCCAACATTAGATCTGATTCCACAAATAGACAATATTTGCTAAATTATATCATGTGCCAAGAATTACACTGACAACCACTTAAGATTGCAAATCAGGCAAGCAATGTGGCATGCTGTGAATGCACATGTATATTAATACACAGGTACTAATACTTAGCAGACAGAAAGAACATAACCTAAGAACATAAAAACCAGGAGCAAGAGTAGGCCATCTGGACCTTCGAGTTTGCTCTGCCATTCAATAAGGTCATGGGTGATCTTTTCATGGCCTTAGTTACACTTACCCACCCTCTCATCATAACCCTTAATTCCTTTACTGTTCAAAAAGTTATCTATCTTAGCTTTAAAAACATTCAATGAGGAAGCTTCAATTACTTCACTGGGCAGGGAATTTTGAGGGAAGTTCCTCCCCAATTCAGTCCTAAATCTGCTCCCCCAATTTTGAGGCTATACCCTCTTGTTCTAGTTTCACCCGCCAGTGGAAACAACATCCCTGCTTCTATCTTATCTATTCCCTTCATCATTTTATATTTTTCTGTAAGATTCCCTCTCATTCTTCTAAATTCCAATGAATATAATCCCAGTCTATTCAACCTCGCCTCATAAACCAACTCTCTTAACTCTGGAATCAACCTAGTGAATCTCCTCTGCACCGCCTTCAGTGCCAGTACATTCTTTCTCAAGTAAGGAGACCAAAACTACACACAATACTCTAGGTGTGACCTCACTAGCACCCTATACAGCTGCAACATAACCTCCCTGCTTTTAAACTCAATTCCTCTAGCAATGAAAGATAAAATTCTATATGCCTTCTTAATTACCTGCTGCACCTGCAAACCAAACTTCTGTGATTCATGCACAAGGACACCCAGGTCCCTCTGCACAGCAGCATGCTGCAGTTCTTTTACCGTTCAAATAATAGTCTCTTTTACTGTTATTCCTACCAAAATGGATGACTTCACATTTATCAACATTGAATTCCATCTGACAGACCTTCATCCACTCACTTAAACCATCTACATCTCTCTGCAAACCTTCAGAGCCTTCTGCACACTTTGCTCTATCACTCATCTTAGTGTATTCCACAAACTTTGACACACTACACGTGGTCGCCAACTCCAAATCATGTAAATTATAAACAATTGTGGTCCCAGTATTGACCCCTGTGGCAGACCACTAGTCACTGTTCGCCAAACAGAAAAGCACTCACTTATCCCCACTCTTTGCTTCCTGTTAGTTAACCAATCGTCGATTCATGTTTATACATTCCCCGTAACGCTGTGCACCTTTATCTTATACAGCAGCCTTTTGTGCGGCACCTTGTTGAATACCTTTTGGAAATCCAGATACATCATATCTACTGGGTCCCCGTTGTCCACCATGCCCATAATGTCTTCATAGAATTCCAGCAAATTAGTCAAGTATATCCTGCCTTTCATGAACCTACATTGCATCCACCCAATGGGACAATTTCTATTTAGATGTCTTGCTATTTCTTCCTTGATGATAGATTCAAGCATTTTCCCCACTACAGAAGTTAAGCTAACTGACCTATTCCCCAATTTTTGTCGACCTCCTTTTTTGAACAGTGGCACCACATTTGCTGTTTTCCAATCTGCTGGAACTGCCCCAGAGTCCAGCGAATTATGGAAAATTATCATGAGTGATTTGCTATTACTCCCACCATCTCTTTTAGTACCCTGCGATGCATTTCATCAGGACCAGGAGACTTGTTCACTTTTATCTCCATTAGCTTCCCCAACACTACCTCTTTCGTGATAATGATCGTGTCTAGGCCCCCACCTACCTTAGTCTCTTTGTCATCAATTACCGGCATGTTATTTGTGTCCTCGACTGTGAAGACCGACAAAAAATACCTGTTCAATGCCTCAGCTATTTCCTCATTTCCTGTTTGTAAACCCCCCTTGTCATCCTCTAAAGGACCAATATTTACCTTAGCCACTCTTTTTTGTTTTATACATAAATGTTTGCTATCTGTCTTTATATTCTGAGCTAGTTTAGTCTCATAATCTATCTTACTTGTCTTTAAAGCCTTTTTTGCGGCTTTCTATTGACCTTTATAGTTTTCCCAATCTTCTAGCTTCCCACTGGAAAGAACATGTATTCACATGCTTCAACTCAACAAAACAGGTGACAGCCATTCTGATTAGTTTCTCTGTGCATTCATTGCCTTGACCAATTAGAGTCGACCTACCT